GATCTGGATGAATGGCTGATGAAATGTACCGTCACTGCCTTACTCTTCTCTCCATTGTAACATGCAGCATATTTTTATGGTCCCAATTTTTGTTTTGTTATCTGAAAAAAGGTATTTTGCATTGTTACAATATTTTTAATAAAATGCTTTAAGAAAAAGATACATGGCTTTCCTCCAAGGAGCTGAGGGTTGCACACATGGCGTTATCTCATGATATCCTTTGTAATAAAACTGTTGAGGCAAGTCTTGAAAATCAGTTTGCAAAGGGTACTTGCCCACAGAGCTTCCTATTAGCCTTCTGGCCCAGTGTGTCTGTCATTCTTGCTCTAAAAGGAGAAGGCTCAAGCTGGGTAAAGCTTTCCTGTCTAGTCACCTGGGCAGCACAGGCAACCAGGAGAGGCCAATTACATATCTTTTAGGCTGACTGAGTGACTTGCCCAAGCAGTTTGCGCACTGAAGCACCACAATAACAGCTGACAGAAGCAAACTGCATAAAGTATGTAAGTCACCATGCTGAGTAACATATACATGGGATGAGTGCTTTGGGTAGCACTCTGACCTATAACTGTAATTTATGAACGCCCGGGGTTGAGTCAAATGTGACTTCTGTGAATGGAAGGTCTCCTGAAATCAGGCAGAGGTTCCTGCTGAAAAGAGGCAGTGACTTTAGACAATTCCCCCTCTGCTCTGCAATCTCCCGAGCAGCTCGGAAGGGGGCAAGGGCAGGGAGACATTCCGCAACACTGGCTCCCGAGCAGCTCAGCAGGAGGACCACGCAACTGAAGTTCTGCTCAGGGGAAATCAGTCTCCAAGCCTTTAAATGTGTGTTTAGAAGGTACAGCAGCTCATAGAGGCTGCTACATGTGGTTTACTGATGACATCTAGTGGTCTAGTGGGAAAGGCCCACCAAAATTAACCCACAAACATGTTTAATCTAGCACCAAGGGAAGATGTACAGTGGACCCTCGGGTTTCGTTACCTTCAGGTAACGTAACTTTCGGGTTGTGAACGTGGCAAACCTGGAAGTGTATTCTTCCGGGTTTTGCTGCGCACGAATGCGCAAAGGCGCTCTATCGCGCTGCGTGCTTGCACAGAAGCGGCACCTCTTCTTGTGGATTTTTCGGGGTACATACGGACCCCCTGGAACAAATTACATTCGTATCCAGAGGCTCCACTGTATTCAAGTTACAAAGCCTTTCATCTGGCTGGCTGCCCATCGTTGCTGGTATCCAGTTACTGGTTATTTTAGTTAGTGGAAGAGCGTTGATAGCACAGATATCAATATAGCCTGCTTGTTCAAACATGTATTTGTTAACTATTCTTCCACAACTTTGAGCCCTGCAAAGGCAGCGCCTCTCAGCACTTATTTCTTCATTGCCCTCTCACTAGCAGCACTTGACTTCTTCTTGGACTCAGAGCAGCAGAGAGGAACAAGGCAGTTGTCGTGAGCTGCAAATTTCCTAACCCTCTCTGCTGCTCCAGGTCCAGAAAAAGAGGCCTGGTGCAGCAAGCCAAGGGCGAGTGAGCGAGCGAGCAAGTGGCAGTGCAGAGAGAGAAGCTGAAAGGGATTCTCTGGCAGTAGCTGGAAATGGGAGCTGCTCTGAGCATGGGAGGCTCCTGGCCAAGGGAAGCCTCATTCCTTGGCCTCAGTATGACCGGAATCCGGCCTCCTCCACCCCATGAACGTCCCATCGCATCGCAACAGCTCACAAATGGGCTGACGGCTTCAGGGGACAAACTACTTTCTGGGAGCTTATTGCAAAGATTCTGCACTGCTCAGAGACTAACAGTTAAAACCGGAGCAACTGAGAATGTCTTCCTCTTGACCCCAGGCAAAAATAAATTTATATGGTAAGTCCCTGTGTCAGCTACCTGATGCCCATGGTTCCAAGTTCCAAACTTCTCCAATGTAGGCTTGAACCACCCAACCAGTCTGGGCCTTAGAGAGTACCAAGAATGGATATAATAAAGTTATTTGAAAAAGTAAAAAGTCACCTTTTTGAGAACTGCTCTTATTTCCAGACACCAGGTCAGAATAAATTTCACAGTACTCTTTTCAGGTATATACAGTGGCACAGCTGCTCCTGTTTAAGAAGAAAAAATAAATTTAAATTGGGAACATATAAACAGTTCCACTCTTCTTTATGATTACTTGTGAGTTGTAAAAGCTACCTCCTAGAAGACTCACTCATGTAGAGTGGCAGCTTTCAAATTATATTCCAGGGAATCCTAGGTTTCCTTCAAACCTTATCAAGGATTCCTTAACATTTACATCAAGAAGCTGACTGTTACCTAGCAGTCATGGAATAAGAGGACAGGTCCTTAAGAATCAATAATTTTTTTTAAGTAAGCAAAAGTAGACTGACAGTGTCACAAAGCAGGGAAGTAAACAACAAGCTCTCCACAAATTCTGTAATCATTTAAACCAGGACTATTTAACTTGTACAGAAGTTATCAGAATGCAGAGGCAGACAGAGCAGTGGCCAAATTTGCAGTGGGACACCAGATTATTCATTGTGGCGAAATCCCAATGAGACCAATAAAAACTCCAAAAGAATCTCCACAAACTAGGTAAATGGGCAAACAAAATAGTAGTAAGGTGTTACACTTATTACATTTATGTAAGTTCCATTGTGATAAATTAGGCTTGTATTTGAAAATATTCAGGACTAAGGAAGGGGTGTACATTGAGACAACGCCCCCCAACTTCACACATATGCTGGTGGCATATGAACTAGGGGTGTGCATTAGTTTTAAAATGAATAGAAAGAACAAAATGCCCCCCAAACATTTCAGTTTAAAAATCTAATGGAAATTGAAATGCCTTAAAACCCATCTATGTCTATTTTTGTTTCTGTTTTGCCACTGACATCAAATAGGATATCCAGCTAGTACATCTGCTGCCTGTAACTTTGGGAGTTTTCAAAATCAAACTGGAGTACATTTTTAGATACTCTGCTACTTGCTCAAAGGATCACATATGCAAAATCTCAGAGAAAGAGAGAAGAGAAAGAGAGAAGAGAAGAGAAAGGGCAATGATTTAGAAGCTGTAAAAAGATTAAAATTATTTCAGCTTTGGAGTCCAAGTCCTGCTCATATGTCACAAGGCTCTAAGAGACAGATGGCACAAATTGGGGACAAGACTGTCTAACAAGTGCCTCAGGTATTTTAACTTGAAATGCAATTTGCACAGAACTCCTGAGATCCCAAAATGAAGGGGCAGTTACACAAAATGAGTTTTCTCTTCTCTTCTCAAGGGCAGTATCACATGCAATATCATGGTAAATGCATAAAACCTACCTCTTTTTTTAGTGCCTGCCTTAACCTTCAAGCAAACAAAGTAATCTTTCTTCTCTGACAGTCCCAAGATATGAAGAAGCTCTTCCACCTCACTGGTATAATTAGGGCAAATGACATTAAAGGCATCTCCAGGCTGGTAGCTAAATGTGGTTTTCTGTATTTAAAATACAAGTTGGTCCATGTGAAACTGAAAAGACATGTGCCATACACCATTTCCTTCCCTCTATTACATTGCATGCAAACATTGTGGGTTATTCTATCTCAGCAAGACCTATCCAAGGAAACCCATGATTCCAACAGACTTGATCCCAAGGTATGGGCTGACGGTGCATGAGCACACCACCTTGCTAAAGCTAAGCGGTTTGGGTCTGAGTGGAAACTGCCTCAGAACTACATGGACACCATAATGGAAGGTGTGCTATAAATACAAGGAAATAAGTCAGCCGGGAATCTTTAGACTTATTGAAATCAGTGGTCTTCTCCACATATTACCCAGATACAATCCCCTTTTAATGCCACAATTTGTGAAAATAAACACTTGTCAAAGCAATGGATGTGTGCTCCTTCTTGTCCTCCAAGACCTTTGCAGCTCATTGGCAACTATAAACTCCCGTGAAGGAAGTTTTTCATTATACTAACCTGAACATCTACTGCAGCACGTACTGATACCCTTCTGTTTACCAAATTGAGGGCCATGTCTGGATCCTTAGATAGTCCAAATGGCACCACTGACCCATCAAAAGGAGGCACTGGCAGGTAATCCCAAAGTTTTACAGAATTTGGGAGGGAGGAACTTAATGCAGGAGCAGCCCGAACCAACTCATTGTGGACTGAGAAGTCTCAGTGGACATGAAATGATGGACTGGATATATCTGGTGATACCCAGAAACCTGGGAAGAGGGAATAGAATGTCTTGGAAAAGGGAACAGCTGCCTGGTTGGAACACAAAAGAGGAGCACTTCACATTGCAACATTTATTGCAGATTCCCTTTGTAAAATCATATTTTAAAACTTGTTTAGTGTTAAAATTGGGACAGTGGACTTCAAAAGCGTTGTCTTGTACTGTAGGTTTATCATCATTATCATTTCTGTCAAGTTAATCAAAAAAACCCAAACTAATTCAACTTACAGAAATATCAAGTTCTAGCAGCAAAGTCCTTTTAATTGCATCATCCCTAGTAAGTTGTACAGCCTTGATGACAGGAACCTGGAAAATGGAGCTCTCTGAAACGCAACACAGGCTGGGATCCTAAAAACAAGCTGACGTAAATTTAGATCAAAGGAATAAGCACATAAATATTTGTACACCATTATATGAAATAACAGTAAAATATATACATGATCCTGCCCTGCCCCCCAGCACATCAAGGCCTATCATTTCAATGAAAGAGCTGAGATCATGTTTAACTCTCCAACTTTAGAAGAAAGCCATTGTGGTCTTTCCCAGTAAAAACAATCATCTCTTATCTTCCTCTCCCCACTTGTGAGGATAACATGGGGGGAAGGAGAACCACATGCACCAATGTGCGTTCCTTGAAGGGAAAAAATGGATATAAATGTAATAATAAAATCATTTCCCTTCTTCACAAATAAGTAACTTTAAAATCACGTTGCATCTTTAGTTCCCAAATGCAAACTTACAGAAGATCGGAGTTTTACATCTAGAAATGGTGTCCCTGTGGAAGACCTACCTGCTCAGAGCTTTCTTGAAAGTGCACTTCTAGGTATTCTGGTGGCAAAGCAGGAACATTAAGAGCCAACTGTGAAAGTGGAGGAACCGAGTGGAAAAGTGAAGGCTGAGAGCCTTGAAGGGGAAGTTCTGACTTAGTAACTGCTTTTGCTAGGAGATCATTGTTCACACCCAAAACTTCTAGCTTCAAACGCTCTACTCTGGAGTTTATGCACGAGTTACAAACTGCATCAGCACAAAGAGATGGAGGTTCTTCAGTGTGGTTTCTTTCTTTCTTTCTGGATGCAAATTCTTGGTGGAGGGCAGGCCAAAGTCCAGCAATCCAAGGGTCAACCACCAGTTCCAAACTGAAACCAAGCAAAAAAAGTGAATTTTAAAAAGTATGTATGAAAAGATCAGGATAAATGTCAGCACCCAAACAGCACCTGCAGATTATTTAAACACAGTTTACAAGTTATTTCAAAGGTTTATGTTGGTTTTTTTAAAGAGCGGTTTACAAAAGAAAAAGCAAGAACTGAGACATTGCACACATATCTCACTAGACAGGACTTTAACATATTTTAACAGGCTTTATAGTAAGTGGGGGAAAGTTACAATGTGTGGTATTATATTTAATTTTCTCATTCCAGAAACTTAGAAGAAGTGCCATCTTTTAAAAAAACGTTTTCTTATTTACTGTTCTGATGCTAGCTCTTATTTGGTATGTTAATCTAAATAATAAGGCTTTTCCCATATTTTCCTTTTATTCTGATACAGGAGGTGGATTTTTGTTTCTCCAGAGATGACTAAGGCGCAGCCTTGCACCTATCAGAAGATATGCGACTAACTGTCTGTCCACCTTTTCTATTTCTGTCTGGACTGCGAACAAAAGAATCATTTTGAGTTTTCTTCATATGTTGTTCCAGAATTTTTCTTTATAATGACACGTGGTCAGGAAACGTGTATGAAGTTTCTTGCTGAAATTGCTCTGGATCTCCAGCATCTTATAGTAGAGTTTTGTAAATTTTGCTTATCCTGTAGGGTGTTAAATGCCACTGATACATGAATTTGAAAAGACTATTAAGGGTAAAATTTTATTAATAATGATGTGTTGAATAACCAAGTTCGCTCTTCTGGCTATTGGCTTTCTCCCACTTTAAAAGCCATTATTAAAAGCAGCACACCAGAGCCCTCTATCAGCTGATATAATCACAAGAGCCCCAGTGAGATATTTACTTCCTGGGATGTGCTGTGCTGCTCTTTGCACTGCATTTGCAAAAAACGAAAACAATAGCAGTACTTAATGAGGCAAAGAAGGACAAACTGAACCATGTCTATTAATTTCAACTCCTCTTACTTCTTCTGGGAGATCAAGTCACAAGAGGCTCTTTCCAAGAAGAGAAATGGAGCAAGAGGGCAAGGCAGCAGTGAAGGCAGCTGTACACAGGAGTTTGGGAATGTTTCTGCCCAGTAGCTCTGCAGAACCAGTGGGCAAAAAGACTCAGTGGGGTCATTTCAGCTGAGGCTAAGCAAGCTATGCTCTTAACTTGAACCGTCACAATTGCCCATGGCTACTGCTGACACACTGTCTGCTTCTGGGAATATTTCCTGGGGGAATGAAGGAAGCATGCATGCATGAGCAATCTTCATCTAGGATAGAGATGAAATTTTTAGGAGCAGTGGAGAGTCATTCCACCCTTGTGCTTAATTTGAGGAAAAGTAAATTATTTCACTGGCAGATCTCTCCTATTTCGCTCCTCCTCAGTTTCTAAATTGGTGTCCAGATGGGGCTATAAATAGATGGGGTGGGGGTGGGGATTGGAACAAATGCCACACAAGGCGACTTAACCAAAACCTCATCAGAGAAATTTAGGTTTCTTACCCGACAGCATCATCAGCGAGTCCAACCTCATAAAAGCGTTGTGCTCCAAGTTCCTGAAATCGTTTGTCTATTATCTTCCCACCATTGCAGAAAAATGTGTATTCTGAGTCTCCCAGGCCTGCAAATAAAAGGGAAAAGGCAAATCAAGAAAACCTGCATCAGATCAATTCCCTGGACAAGGTGCTTCAGAATAAATCAAACTCTGCCCTCCAGCTTTAATGCAGCAGTAAGAAAAACTACAAAACAATAAGCACAAGTTCCTAGGATTGCCAACACAGGCCTCCTTGTGCAGACATGGATGGTGGACGGTGCCAAGTAGACAATGGTTTCTTCCATGCAGAGTCCAACTGTGCCCCCCCCCTCAAAGCTTTGGTAAGGTAGGGTGGAATTTTCCAAAGCTGACTCTCTCACCCGTCCCAGTCTCTAAACCATTCAGGCGGTTCAGAAGAGGAGAACAAGAATGTAAGTTTCTTCTGAACTGAGAACTGGCACCTCCTTGATGCTGCCGCCGCCACCGCCACCATCAGTCCAATCTGGACTGGCCCTAAGATACTAACTCAGAAAGAAGCACTTCTCTTCTACGCAGCTTGAAATGTTTGGCATAAGGACTGGAACAGAGAGAATGGTTCTCATTCTCACTCTTCACCCCTCCCTGCCTGCCCCAGGTGATGCTGGAAACGGATGACGTGTGGCACAATTGCTGGGCAGCGGCCCCACATGGTGTCGTAGTGCTCTCAGGCTATCTGGAAGTAACTGCGAAGCACACAGACCTGCTCTAGGAACAGCCACTTCCTCTGTGCAGCAGGAGAAACAGAAAGGAGAAAGAAAGGGGGCCACAAAAGCAGAAAGTGGGGCCATGTGCCATTTTAGCAACCTGGAGGCTTAGGCTGCTGCTCCTACCCATCCCTCCAAACAGCTATCTAGAGAAAACCATTACCTCCCTGCAATCTGGTTGGGAATCAACCGCTATTACCAAAAATTTTTTTAAAAAATTGCTCATTGATAAAGGTAAGTAGCCAGGCACCAGAATTATCAGTGAAAAAGTCAATGAATTATGGGCAATATTCACAATCGCCAAAGTGCAATAGGCAAAGCCTCTTCCACAATTAAGTTTTGGATGCCTGTATTTAAGTCATCATCCTATTCTTCAGACTTCCAAATTTTAAAAGACAAAATTAATTAATTAGCAGAATAGCTGGCTATATATGGCCGATAGTACCTTAAAAGCAGAAAAGCATGTTCGAATTCAATAAGTAAAGTTAAGACACCAAGTCATGTTGGGTTTTTTACTGGTTTCCTATTCAACAGCACACATGAAGTAAAAAAAGATGTATAGTGCTATTTTTTATTTCACTATAATAAATGAAATAATCCTCTTTGGTTATACAATTGAAATTCATACCAATTTGCCATCGACTTTGGAATCACATTTGTTGGATCAGAGTTCTTTCATGGATCATAATTTTAAAATACGGAAAGATATAGCAAAAACACAGTCTAAAAATACAAAGGATGTTAAATTGTAAAATTTAAGAATATATAGCTCATATTTCCCAATGAAGAAAGTACAGCTAAATCCTTATTTCAAAGAGGCTTGAATTGTACCCTGATTCTGTGTGGTGCCTCATCAATACTCGTAATGAGGGCCGCACAGCTATACTAGCTGTGATCATAGTTAAGCAATTCGATCAAAAATATATTGGATCCAGCCTGCAGTTTTTTGCAACAAGGTTTCTCCCCTGCTTTATACGAATAGCAGCTTACAAGCAAATTACCTAGCAATCCGTATCGTAAATGGGAAAGGTGGTCCGACGGCAGAGATTTATCGTTAATTTCCTTAACAAACTTGACTGCTGTGTCCGGTGGCTCTCCTGTACCCGTAGTAGAAGTAACAATAACCACGGGGTCTTTTTCACTATTCAAGTTATACTGTAAATTGAAAGAAACAAAGTTGGAGCATAATGCAGAAACGTTCAAAACTGGGTGGTATTTGGACGCACACAATCAGAGCTGAGCATCCAGTAATGTGGGGTTAAGCCATTGTGATGTTTCAATTCATCAGGTTTTTCAATTAGCTTTTTAAAATCTATTTTGATAGCTCTGAGCCTGCTATGGGGAGGAATTTAATATCACACTAAGGTGATGATTCCATCTGCGCAAGCATTTTGGTTTCCAGACAGAAGAATCCCCCCCTCTCCTCCCCATATGGGCTGTCCCAGGAGTTCTCTTGACACAGACCCCTGAGCCAATTTCAGGAGGGGGTGCATGGGGGCAGCAGAAGGGAGGAAGGCCCTATTGCACAAGCAGAAGTCCTTGCACAGAGCTTCTGCAGATGGGAGTCATTTGTTGAATCCCACACAAATAGCGGAGTTTTACAACCAGTGAAAGAAACAGAATAATGGTTCTAATTCCAAGTCTTGCCTCAGCTTGTACTGTAGGGAGGACTTTGCATGTTGCAAGGATCCAAAGCTAGATGCAATAGTTGAGCTTGGAATCAAAAATCACATACTCTCCCCAATTATATATACTCAGTCCACAATTTAACCTCTTGCATCCTAATTCTCCACGAACAAATCTATGCAATATATAAGCATAGTGTAGATGATTTCCTGCAGTATTGAACTTAGATAAGATAGTCCTGTATTCAAATCCTAGCTCAGCCATGAACGTCACTAGGTAACTTTGACCAATCACTCTCTCAACCTAACCCTCCTCATAGGGTTGTCCTAAGGATAAAACAGGATAACTTCCATGAGGGGGCATAAGAAGAAATGCAAATGTAATCAAGATGAAACCCAAGTATGCATAAGTGCATTTGCTCACATTTCTGCCTTCTTATACCCTCGGGATCCCTTGAAACTCTACATTTCTATGATTCCATGACCCTCCCTTTCCCCCTCTCCAATTTCTTTTCCCTTGGACAAAATCTGCAGTGTGAGCAACCTGGTACAAGGTGCAGTCTTTAACACGTCACTACCATCTACGTTGATTACCCTTTTTACCCAAAAACTTCAACAAAAAGAGAACAAAATCAAGATGTACCTTTTGAGGGGAAAGATTTCTAAGGAAAGCTCTGAATGATCCAAAGAAATGTTGTGGAAAGTCATTTGCAAATATGGCACTCCTGTATATTTGAACGGGGTGTTCAAAGAATCTTACCTTGTCTGACTCACTGATGCAGTGAAGATCTGCTTCAAGCCCACTGTCCTTGGCCTGATGGTATATTTCCTCAGCTATAGCTTTTGCCTGACCCTTCTGGCTCGCATAAAGGAGCAAAAACCTATGGTTTGTTTTACAGCACATCTTTCAAAGATCAACTACAGTACATGGGAAAAGAAAAGAGAGAGAAAAGCAAAGGGGTTGCTTCATATGCAACAATGAGACTGTAATCCTTTCCAGAAATGGCAGTTCCTGCTTCTCTTCTCCCCCCAGCCTTCCAAATATATTACCCTTCAGAAAGCAAGTTCAGGGCCAAAATTCTATACACATTACTGAACAAAGTGGGACTTGCCTCCAAGAATATATGTGCAGGATCAGGTTGGACATACTTTACCCACCCCAAGTGAGGTGGCCCAACCAAAATAGGCAGTACAGGCTACTGCTTGGGGCAGCAGAAATCCAGGAGCTCAAGGCCAATTGGAAAACCCCTCTAGGAAAAACCTCTCTATCCTTATTTCTGTATACCTGAAGGAGCATCTCCAGCCCATTGTTCAGCCCAGACACTGAGATCCAGCGCCGAGGGCCTTCTGGCATTTCCCTCACTATGAGAAGCCAAGTTACAGGGAAGCAGGCAGAGGGCCTTCTCAGTAGTGGCACCCACCCTGTGGAACGCCCTCCCACCAGATGTCAAGGAAAGAAACAACTGTATGACTTTCAGAAGACATCTGAAGGCAGCCCTATTCAGGGAAGTTTTGAATGTTTGATCTTTTATTGTGTTTTTAATCACCTGTTGGAAGATGGCCAGAGTGGCTGGGAAGGCCCAGCCAAATGAGCGGGGTATAAGTAATAAATTATTATTATATTATTATTATCATCACCATGATCATCATCCTGATTCTTGCTTAGGAAAACATAATCACAGCAGTGGGGGCAGCAACTGAGTAGGTCCCATTTTCCTGACTGCAGTCAGATCCCCCTCATTCTGTACAAGTGAACGGAGCAAAATGCTTCCCCACGTTCCACTTTCTTGCCCGCGACAGAGAAGAGAAGCTGTATTAGGAAAGCCTGGAGAAGACGCGCGGAGAGGACCATGTGGAGGAGGAGCCCCGCCGCCCCGGACCAGGCTTGGCTCCCGCCCCCCCCCCCGCCGAAACGGCCTCCGGGGCCTCCCCCCCCCCCGCGCGCGCCTCTCCAGGCCCAGACCTGCTCGCCCGCCGCTCGCCCGCCTGCGAAGAAGCAGCGGAAGAGGAGAGCTGCCAGTCGGAGCAAAAAGGGGGCGGGACAAGGCGCCCGATTGGGCGCTCGGCACTCGAACCATAGACTGGAGGAGTAGAGTAGGGACGGGAAGGCGGTGCTTCGGGGTCACTCTCTCTCTCTCTCTCTTCTCCCCGCTGCGACTCCCCCGCGCGCACGCGCCGAGGCCGGAGTGTCTCGCGGGGCCACCTCCCCTTGTTGCTGGAGGGCGAAGCCTGACCCGCCCAAGGGAGCCAAGGACGCTCTTCTGAATCACCGGCCTGGAGTTTGCGCGCCGGGCCCTCGCGAGGGGTGATGGGAGTTGTGGTCCGGCTCCATCCGGCGGCTCGAAGGCCCCGCCCTTTCACTTCCGGGGTCGTGCAGTTGAACCCCCGCTTCCTAGGCCGAACCGGAAGGCGGGAAGCGCCGCTCTCCCCACATTTCCGCGGAGAAGCGGGTAAGGCTCCCTGGCAGCCCCAAGCGAAGCCTCGCCTCCGACCTGGGCGCGCGGGATTTCAGGGCTCAGGACCCCGCGCGCCTGAGCATGGGCGGAGCGACGCAGGCCCGGCCCCGCGAGGCCTCCCTCGCTCGAAGGGCCGCTCGCGGGTCCAGCTCCCTCCCCTCAGGCCCGCCCCTCCCGCAGGAGAGGGCCTTCTCGGGGGTGGCTCCTCCCTGCATAGGGAAGCCAAATTGGCTCCCTCTTGACTGCCTTGCTGTTTTTGTTATAATTATCTGTATGTTTTAAACACACACATATCTTTGTCCTTTAATGAACCCCCATGCTTTTAGCTAAAAGTGACCTGTCTATCTGAAGTTTAGATAGATTTCGCCTGAGTCATAATGTAATGCAACATTTCCTGGTAGAACCCAGCTGGTGTTGTGGGGAGGGGTCCTCTTGAGAACATAACTGAAGTCCCTTCTCGCCACAGCTCAGCACAAGAGATATCGCTTGCAATGTTTGTACCAGAATGTGGCACAGTTTGATTTGATGTTTGTTTGGATGTCTTATGGCTTCTTTTTACTGAGGCTCTTAAGTCTAACAAATGCTTGTGGGGTGGGCAAGGGAATTTGCCCTCCTAGCCAGCTCTCCCAGTTCTATGCTGTCCTTCAGTAGCAGGCAAACCAATGTGCATCTGTGTGATTAAGGAAGATATGGCAAGCAGTGGTGCCTGACCCCCACAGGCCAGCCGTCCTCCAAGGACTGAGAGTGCACAAGGATTTAACAGTCTAATTCTTTAGGACCTATTGCATGCGCTGATTTCCTTGGCTGCCCATACTGTTACCATTTGCTTAGATCACTGTCAGAAGCATTTCAAACAAGCACAGGTTTCTAGAGATTGAATTCCAAAATCTCAGCCTTACAGCCCATAATTCTTGCTCTCAATTGGGGTTAGGGATCTTACCTCTCTTTGGCCAGATCACTCCATATTTACATCACCTATACAATCCCCACCAACATAGAGCTTTTCCCGTTGCAAGATGTAACTTCATTCCATCTTGCTTCTGCAAGGAAGCTTCTTGAAAATCCCATATTTAGAAAGGCATTGTCCTTGTGGTATAAAACAGGTTGAAACCATTGCACATGTTTTATTTTACTGTCCATTTTTATGCTGAAATCGGCAAGAAATATTTAAATCTCATGCTGAAAGAAAGGTTTAATTGCCCGGATTTATCCAAGGTTTCCTTTCTACTGACATTATGGTGAATGTAGCAAAATTTCTGAGAGATGCCATGAAATGATGTCGCTGTAAGACTTGAGAGGCACTTTTTAACCTTATGACGTCTATCTGTTTTATCTTAAAGTATCTGCTTTCATGAACAGATGCCAATTTTACACTTTGACTTATACTTGTAACCTGTGTATGCCAGTAAAGGATTAATACTTAGGCCATGGGCCAGTGGATCATCAGTCTGCCTGTAATTTCAGCTCAGTGCATTTATTTATTCACTTCTTGTTCACTGTAAAGAAGTTAGTATTCCATGCTTTACATTATTAAGCATTAATTCCATGCCGCGGAAATCCAGATTCCATACTAAGAAAAGCCAACCCTTACTCTAGGCTCCTGGAATTTCAACAGCCACTGCCCATCACACTTTGAAGCATAGCTTTGCATCTATAATGGCTAGAAATGTGATTCTCCATGAATATGGAAATTTGAGGTTATTAAGACACTTGATTCTTTGGACAGTACCATGTTATGTACTTAGTCTCCCCTTCTGTAGAACTATGGGATGGACACAGTCCTCATTGTGCCATCTCTTGACCTTTCTTTTCATGCTGTTTTTAAAAAAATAAATAATAATAATAAAAGCTCTCGAAGGCTAACCAGGATATCTCTATAGTGACACTGACTTTTAGTTGTTGTTTTTCTTTCAGGGAGAAATGTTCAAAGCAGACCTGAAATGGCTTCCATGAATTTTAGATGTATCCAGGCATCTATTTCTAGAATGCAAGCATGTAGGCAGCTACTAACTCGAGGCACAGCCTTGAACCATTTTGGCCAGCAAATTAGGCAGTTCAGGTTATGTCTCCATGGTTCTTCAACATTGCGAACAGTGTGTTCAGTCTGTGGTTTTCAGTGCACGGCTTGTAGAAACTATCATATGGAACTGGGAAATCACCCCGGCTATGTTACGGGAATGGTGCAACTCCATGGAGAAGCTGGTAACAGTGTAAAATCTGGCAGCACGTGGACAGATGAACAGGTGTTTTTGAAGAAGTTGAACTGTTTCTGTTCATACAAAGACATTTTCAGATTTGTAAGCACATTGGAAAGTTTATCTGACACCATGGTGGCAGCTGTCCTTCAGCGGTTGTGTGATGTTCAACTGGAGGACAGTATGTTGAATAATCCAGAAGAGGTGATGGAGGATGAAGTCTTCAGGTCACTTTGCTTCCAGCTGGAACAAGAATCACCAAGCCTATCTGAATCTGGTCTTGTAAATTCACTAAATGCTTTGATAAAATTACGTGTGGATCCCTGGAGTACCTTGATGGTTCGTTTGGTGTCAGAGAGCCAAGAACGTCTTGATAAAGGCCAGATGACTATTAGAAATCTGTGTGTTCTTGGAGAATCCTTGTTCAATCTAGAGGGTCCAAGTTGTGCTATTCTGGAACAAATTATGGACCAAGTTCAAAGTACAAACCTGGAGGACTGGAAGGCTGATGAAATGGCTATGGTCTACAAAATGCTGCAGCTGGGTGTCGGGGAGAGAGGGAAGTACCAAGCCCTATTAAACAAAATGAGCAATTTAACTGTAACTCGGGTTCCTCAGTTCAGCCCTGAAATGACAAGTACAGTGTTAAATGCTGTGGTGGTTCTTGATCAAACCCAAGCCATTCCTCTAGTGATAAAGCTTTGCAAGCATTCAGTACGGCACATCCCATATTTCACTGACAATGAGCTAGAAAAGGTGCTGGAGGCGTTCATTCATTTTGGACACAACGACCAGTTCTTCACTGAAGCTCTAGAAAGACATGTTGCCAAATACGCCTTCACCATGCATCCCTGTGCCGTTTCCAAAGTCATGCAGTTCTGCAGCAGGAAGCGCATCCTTTCTAAAAGCATCTTCAATGCAGTGGCAGAAAGTTTCATCTACAATGCTGACAACTTCACCACTGCTCAGATCGCTGAGCAGATTATTCCATTTGGGAAACTCAACTATTTGCCTCCGTGTGCTCCTTCTCTTTTCCAAAAGCTTGAAAGGATACTCAGCACTCGATCGGCCCAGTTTCAGCCTCATGTATTCTTGAGCCTTCTTCATGCATGCACCCTAGTTGAACGCTATCCCCTGAATTTCCTGGCAAAAGTCTTTAGTCCCTATTTTCTGCAGCAGTTGCAAGGTAAGTATATAGCTTGCCTAGGGATGTGGATGTTCAGAAATGTCACCTCATATAAATGACATGCCCCTGGTAACATTGTTAACTCACATGGGCTAGTAATGGAAGTTGTGAATTCACGTTGGAGAACAGGAGTGGGTCTTGGAGAGACCTTGGGAAATTACATCTGCAGTAGGATTGAAGTGGGGCAGGAGCTCAGGGGCAGCCTCCCAGTATTTCGTTAGTTGTACAGCAGAGTTGGTAGCAAATCTTACTTTACACTCCCCTTGGTGACTCTAGTAGCTTTCCTGTGAAATGAAAGCTTAGGAAATAGCTTTAAGCAGCTGTTTCTTAGCCCCCCCCCTTTTTAAAGGGAAATAAATTGTGTAACCATCTTTATTGATGCCTCTGATTCTTTTATCCCAGCTGAAGGACCTGGTTTGAAGAAGTCTGTTCTTTCTCAGTTGACCCAGCTATTTCTAACAGTTACACTGGAGTGTCCTTCCTATGAGGTATGAGAATATGCTATTCCTTTTTGTGCATGTTTTGATCCTGCACGTTTATTCAGAATAGGCAACAGTGTTGCATGATAAAATGAGCAGCCTTAAGTAATGATTCTAATTAGTAACTGTCAATAGCAGCAGTCATACCGGATTTTGCTGGTAGCTTAGTGTTCCGTGCGTGGCCCGTTGGGCTTTCAGTTCAGCGGAGTACCTATATAAGGACCTTCCAAAAAAAGACTGCAAATAACTTGTTCTGTGCCACCAAGTGTTCCCTTGCAACCCATTCCTGTCCTTGTACCAAACTGTTTGCATATTTATTAGTATTTCTACCTGCAGGAAGAAACTGCTTATTTTCCTCTCCTGTCTTAATAGGGTCCCCAACTCCTTCCCAAGTACATTGTCAAGTCCTTTCTCACGCCAGATCGTTCAATGGAGTCCTTGGTAGACAGTCACCTCTACAGCAGAGTAAAGGCTGGCCTCACTGACCTCTTGGGGGCCCGGATATATTTTGCCTCTCACGTGTTGACACCATACTGCTATACTCTGGGTAGGGAAGCTGTTGCTAATGTGTGTCTTGCTGAATGCAAATGTTAATGGTCATAGTCCCATAATTATGAAAATTTCTGTTTCAGTGTGTAAAGTAATGCTGCATTAATCTTCAACAGACCTGTACTTTGCATGAATGAATGCAGTAACAAACAAAACAAACAAACAAACAAACAAACCCTTCAAAAAATTATAGCTGATCCCTGACATGATTGCTTCTCCTAAATAGTAGAGTTACTTGCCAAATGCCTCCTTGCTCAGCATAATATTGCGTGAAATTCCCATGGTTGTGTGTGTCAGTATCCGGTTGACTGCCAGATACTATACTATTCTGCAGAAGGAAAAGGGGTCCTTACCATCATAGAAATCCTCTTTTGACCCATCCACCCCCACCCCCCATTTTCCATTCACATGCAGACTAAATGAGTTGGAAATAGGATGTAGACGATACTTTTATCCTCTTGCTACCTTTAATACTTAATGTTTTTCTATTATGAGAGATGGATTTCTTTTAACAGATCTCATACTTTGCATTCATATCAAGTGTAGATAAGAAGCAGAAAGGCCCACATATGCTTTCCACATTCCAGATGGTAAAGAAGAATAATGCTCAAGTATTTTGGGTGGTTTTGCCCAAACAAAAAGAGGCACAACATATATAGTATATGCTATAGAAGAGGCATGTCCAACTTTCAAGAGACTGAGATCTACTCCCACTATTAAAAAAACTGGCAGTGATCTACCAAAATTGTAGAGATTTTTTTAGGAAGTCAAAATTGTTGGGCCTTTTTTCCTTTCCTTTTTCTGAGTCCGGGGGGGGGGGGGGGGCAGCGATCTACCACAGAGCCCTCGCAATCTACCTGTTGACCATCCCTGCTATAGAAACATAGTAACTTTTTTCTTGCTCCTTCCTCACACCAGATATTGAGATTAAACTCAATGATGAAGGATTTGTACTACCAGCTAATAGACATGAAGAGGCGTACCAAAGGTAAGCAAGATGCTAAATATAAACAGAGTAGTGCAAGTGGTGTACAATTTTCTGTTCTTTCAATTTGTGTCTTTGCTTGTTGCTTCCCTGGGGCTGCATCCCACAGGACTCCAGAAACATTTCAGTTAAACAATTGCACTGAGACAGACCACTTTCAAAGAACTTGTTCTGTGGCACCAGCCCATGGCAAGGTGTGCTCCTCCTGTGGGATCTTCCCCTGGGGTCGAGGTACTTCACAAGATTCTGTGTTTCAAATGCTAAGAGCAATATGACATCCCACCGCAGGGAAATGGCAGCCACATTGCACCATGGAGGTTTTGTCAGGTCTTTGTATTACCCAAGACGTGTAATAACCTAAAAAACAACAACTATGCAGGATGTCATAAAAGTTTGATTCAAATGCGATAAATATTTAATCTTATTTTGTGTTTGATTGGCAGAATAGCTCTCTGCATTGATGATCAAAGAAGATTTTGCACCAACAGTCACAATCTTCTTGGAAAAGAGGCCATTAAGCAAAGGCACCTACAGCTAGCTGGTTACGAAGTTGTGCAGGTAAATATTTGAAGTAGTTGGGGTGAATCAAATGGTTGCTGTTCAAAGCGGATAGGAAAATTGCAGGCAAGATAGTGTGAACAGCAGGTAGCACTGGAAATCCATATTGCTGCCTCAGACTCTCTTGAAGCTTGGGCTCTTAAGAGCTGATACCTACCCCCATTGAATGCTTAATCTGGACCTGGAAAATGTCAACAATTGCAGGCCAGCGGTTAATATCCTATTCCTGGGCAAGTTGCTGAAGAGAGTGGCAGCTGGCAAATGCTAGGATACTTCTGGATGAAGCTGGGGTTTTTGTTTTGTTTTTGGGGTTTTTTTAACCATTTTGATTTGGCTTCAGAACTCGCTTTGGCACAGAGAAACTGCCTTGGTCATAACGAGATGACCTTTCCCAAGAAAGAGAAGGGCAGGGGAGCGTGGCTCTGCTGGATTCCTCAGACCTCTCAGCGGCTTTCAGTACTGTTGACCATGGCATCCTTCTTAACAGTCTGACTGAGCTGAGTGTTGAAGGCACTGCTTAGGACTGGTCCTGCTTCTATTTGGAGGAGCAGTTCCAGAGGGTAGGGCTGTTGGAGCACCGCTTGACCCTATGGCAGCTTTGCTTGGGGTCCCCACAAGGTTCCACACTCTGCCCCTGGCTGTGGAACATCTACATGAAGCAGATGGAAGAGGTCATCCAGAGATTTGGCGTCAAGTGTCACCAATATACAGGTGACACCCAACTTTATCTCTTTGTCGCTGACTTCAGGCAAGGCTATGGGCATCCTGAAACGATTCATGGTCACAGTAATGGACTAGATTGGGGTTAATAAATGGAAACTCATTCCAGATGAGGCAGAGGTACTGTTATTGGGTGGTTCACTCCCCACAGGTGAATGGGATTGCTAGGAGAATTCTACCCTAGGTGTATATAATTCTTCCCAAAGATGGAATAGATCTATAAAAGTAGTTCTCCTGCCCCCCATGAACCACTTGAAGATCACTCAGCAGACCACTCAATGGTTTTTCTGCCTGTTGTATCAGTTGTGATGTGCTGTAGTGGCTGTGGATTGATTTTTAATTAAATTTTTATTGCTCTTTTTATTCTTATATCAAAAACTATAGGATACAATACATAAGAAAAAATAAGCAACAGACCAATTCCTCTAAATTCACAGAAGAAAAATTATCTGAGTTTGCTTCCTGAAAAATGCTTTCAGTAATACATTCTTCCTTCCTTTTAACTTTCAGATTCCATTTTTTGAATTTGAGTCACTGAAGACCAGAAGTGATATAGTGGAATACCTGCACAAGAAAATTTTTTCTAACTCTTATAGGCTCAGCTGGTGATTGAAATAGAATCCAAATGATGCTGACAGATCTATGAAGATTGGATTATTATTATTATTATTATTTTAAATTTGGGACTTGGTAAGCTACTGTGATTTTTAAAAAACTGAATCTTGTTTTCTGGGCCAGTCATTGAGTTATCGAATTGTAGAGCTGGAAGAGACCCCAAGGGTCATCTAGTCCAACCCCCTGCAATACCGGAATCTCAGCTAAAGCATCCATGACAGATCCAACCTCTGCTTAAAAACCTTCAAGAAAGGAGAGTCCACCACCTCCTGAGGGAGACCGTTCCACTGTGGAACAGCTCGGTCCTCTAACAATACATAAAGAGAATGTGCCAAAAGGCTGGTAAAATACAACTAGATTTATTTTTTAGTGTGACTGTATTCATCCCAAATAAAACTGGGAAAAATATTTTGTTACACTCCCCCCCCCAGCCCAAAACAAATTGCCACAGGAAATGCCAAGAGATTTGTTATTTTCAGGCTATTTACTCTTCACAGGTGCCTGAATTTGTGAGCTGAACTAGCAGTGACATTAAAGTGATGTTTAATGTTAATAGCTAGCAGGAGAGGCTATTTTACTAAGGGATCACAGGGAGGTGTGTTAGTTATTTCTTCCCCACTGCAATCCTGATTAAGACCAACACTGAAGCTGCTATATTGGTGCTAATGGAAACTCCCCTTCTAGGGCTAATTCCACCATTTGGACTATACAGGGGGAAAGGATTAAACTCATTCACTGAAAAAACACCCACATTTGCAGTGAAAGTGCTCCAACCTTGTTAGTTTCACCTCTAAGAAGTCCTTCCCCGTCTTGTTGCAACATCTTATAAGAGAGAGCTCCAGAACCATTTTAAAGCAGTTAAATGAAAACCCATCCCAGACACAACTTCCAGACACATTTGCTTGGACCCCAAAGTGTCAGGTCGCTTAGACATTGCCCTTTGGCTTCTGGCCCCTTAAAGTTACAGTAATACCTGTGATGGCACTAAAAGAAACATCACTGCCAGTCCAAGTGACTCGTAAGTTTCTTCCAAATTGCTTCTCGCCTCAAGCCATGGTTGTGTCTGCCTGCTTTTTACAGCTACAGGCCAAGAGCTGTAACAATAACAATACTGTATGGAAATAGAGATTTAAATAGATATTTGGGGCTGTAAATCTTGATTTGAATAATTCCCTTCAAGCACTAGGGCAGGGATCGCCTGGCACATTTTGAATTCTGAGAAAGTGCCATGGACACCCTTCAAAAAATGGCTGCCATGGAGGAGAGGCATAATAGAAAATTGGGGAGACTTTAGTAATTGCCATCATTCCCACACCTGGATAACCTCTGGCTTACAATGGGAAGTCTGCTATGTCCTGCTGATCCTGAGTGTGGAGTGCACAATATTGATTCTCTCTCAGACAAACACACAGAGGATGTTGCTGCCTAATTGCAACAGGGAGCATTCCCCAGTACCAAGTTACAAGGTGCCCGCACCACATTCACACTCAGGTGCACATAGAACCATCAGGTGATAGAACTGTAGAGTCATCTAGTCCCACCCCCTGCAATGTAGGAATCTCAACAAAGCAGACACATACAGACCGCAGGCACACAGCCATTGGTCTGCCACCCACACAGACATCTCTCTCACACAGGCCACAAATACCTGTGTTCCTTCTCTCAAAGAGCACTTATGCTCCTCCCCCCCCCTTCTCACTACTCAGGCAGCTCTTCCTCTGGGCACCCATGGGATTTTTTCCCAGACCAGAGTGGGGAAGTAAGTGAGAGGGGTTGGAGCAGGCTAGTTTCTCACAAAAAATTGGCGGAATGCTGCTTATATATTTTGCTTCATATCTCAGATTCTAAAATACTATAAGCTTTTCTTAAAAATGAATCGGGGGGTTATGGTTCATCCCAGATGCATCAAAGAAGGCCTTTGCAGGCGCCATAACACCTCTGAATGTGAGGTTGGTGACCCTTGAACTTGGACACAGCTCCAGCCCAAGTTTGGTGGGCTGCCTTTGGCTCTGTGAATCATGATGTGCATACTGTACTGTCAAATAAATGCATATCTTTTCCTAAGCTTTTTTATTTTGCAGATTTATCATTATCTGAGCATTCTGAATGCATGGATGAATAATTTTGCTTTATAACTATACTAAGCTGTTAACACTATAAGACATGGTAACGATGAGATATGCAACAAGGTTTTGTTTCCAAGAATGAGGGGAGAAAAGACACATTAAGCAAAAGCATGTTGTCAGCACCTTCATTTGTGATCTAACATCCATTGATTTGTGAATCAAAGCTCTAACCTGCATATTATTAGCATGTCATAAGAAATGGTTGAGTCTAGTACTCACAGACAAGCACATGGCTGCTTTAGCAAGCAGGATGCACTGAAAAAAGCGGAAACCCCCTTGTCATGGGAGCAACTGCGCCCTCTTCCCCGAATATTGTATTATGAGCTAATGCTCCTTGTAGACTGCTGTTGTGAGCTGCTCGTTGTATAAATGTTGCCATGTTACAGGCACATTCAAGTAAAACATGCCTCACTTAATTTAGCAACCCTGCAAAGAATTCATCAGATGATATGATGCAATATTGGATTTCCCCCAAAATCCCAGTAGCACAGTACAGGAAATAATACAGAAACAAAACCCAGGCACATTAATTCTTCCCTGCTATCAATCACAACAAGTAGCCTTAGGTTGCTTCAATGTTTCTGGATGATTTTTCTATCAAGCAAGCTATTCCGTTTTTCCTGTAGAATTCCGCCTGAACGTGTTTAATGCGCACATGGTCTCTGACCAGCTGCTCCACGGGCTTGTCTATGCGTCGCCCATATTCAGAGGAGGACAAGACTGCCATAGGCCTTGCTTTTTCCTGTTAAGAAATGTTAGATGTTATTTCTGAGTATGGCAAGAGGGTGAAACTGGTGGTTAGTGCAGGGCTGCTGCCAAAATGTTCTTTCCTCCGCTCCCTGCCCATCTTGTGGTATCATTCTGTCAGGTGCCTTCCCACTTTTGATCCACATCCAGAGCAAAGGTGGAACAGGGTGAGGGGGACAGGATGGGGATGGAGGAACAGACCTGTGTCGTCCTAGTGGTGCAGCAATGAAATTGCTAGCACATTTGCTAAGCAGGGTCTGGTCTGGTTTAAATTTGGATGGGGGAAACTACCAAGATTTCTGCATTGCAGGGGGCTGAACTAGATGACCCCGGGAGGCCCTTCCAACTCTTTGGTTCTATAAATGGTGGTGGGTGTTTCATGGGACTGTGCTTTGGGTTTGCATTTGTGTTCTTGGTGCTCCTGGTTGCCCTCCTCTAGGTGCACTTCATTGTCAGTGTCCTTTACTGTCTATAGTCTTTAGTATCATTACTGTTGCTGGTGGGAGAGGAGCATTCATAAAATTGACACAGCTATGGTCCATGAAGTGGGTTCAGAGTGACCACTAGCTGTTCTTGTCGCCTCCTCAAACCTACACGATACTTAGCATTTGTAAAGCACTTTGCAGCAGGTGTGGCAGCCTGTGGCTCCCCAGCTATTGATGAACTGCCACTCCCACCAGCTCCAGCCGGCAAGGCCAGTGGCCAAGGAGGAGGGGAGCTGCAGTTCTCATGACTGGGAGAACAGAAAGATGAGCAAATAGTGATTGCTGTCAAACTGCAGCCCAGTCAAGAGATCATCAATTTGGTCACCTCATCATTAATATGAAGTCCTCTGCTTTTGGCGTGTTCTCTGTCACAGCGGTGGAGTTTTTCGTCATAGCCCATGGGTCTTTTAAAGATGCAGTCGTACAGGGAAACAATTCCTGGCTTAAAAATAAAGGGGGGAAGAAATGCCATGCCGTTAACTGACAAGATGACACAGGTTACAAAGAATCATACCAATAAAACTGACAGATATAATGAGGTTTGGTTGAGTCTGCTGTGAGCACAATGCCCACGTGCGCTTTTCATGACGGCAGCACCACATAGCTTTAACATTCAGCCCTGACGCTGAAAATCGATCTGGAGCCGAGAACTGCGCATAGATTGGAGCACTGCCTTTGGCATTGCTACAGCTGTCCCACACGCTTCTTCCCAATTAATGTATCATGTAATAGGTTAAAGAGCTTTTGTGAAGATGGAGGCCACTGAAGCCTCTCGATAGTGACCTCCTGAGCTGCCCTTCTGTCACAAAGAGGCAGGACACAGAACTCTCCTAAGGGACAGAAAAGCTCAGATCCCAGAGGGGGGACTGTAAACAGAAGGATCTAGGAAAGGAGTAAGAAGAAACAAGAGTCTAAGGAAACAAGAACCAGCAGAATGACAATCCAAGGACAAATACAGGCCATTCCTTGTGAGGGAGAAAAAGCAGGTACATGACCCTCATTTTACCACTTAGGGCTCATGCAGACTTCCACTTCTCGCACCACTTTTCCCCAGGGAAAGCTGAACTTTACCACTGAACAAACGGCAGTCAGGTTTTCCAGGGATTGATGTTCCAGGGATTGAGCAGTAAAGGTTGGGTTTTCCCAGGGAAAGTGGCAGGACAAACAGAAAACCGCTTGGACCCATGCTTTCTTGGCACGGGACAAGTGGAAGTCTGGACAAGTCGTTTTCCAAATGGGCCAGTCCAGAGCTGGCACCAATGGAAGGTTGTGTGTGTGCAAATATTGAGAAATTACCTGTAGCACAGATATAACTGCTAATAGAGAATTTACTAGAAGAAGAAGAGTTTGGATTTGATATCCCGCTTTATCACTATCCTAAGGAGTCTCAGAGCGGCTCACAATCTCCTTTCCCTTCCTCCCCCACAACAAACACTCTGTGGGGTGAGTGGGGCTGAGAGACTTCAGAGAAGTGTGACTGGCCCAAGGTCACCCAGCAGCTGCATGGGGAGGAGCGGAGACGCGAATCCGGTTCGCCAGATTACGAGTCCACCGCTCTCAACCACTACACCACACTGGCTCCCTATTAGCTGCTTTTAGCTGCTTAAAGTTTTGAGTTGCCTTTCACTCTCTCCCCCTCCTTCCCACTTTGTTCCTTCAGTGAAACAGCAGTTCAAAACTGGATTCCTTCCTCCTCACGACTGCTCCTTCCCCTCTGCTCTACGCACCTTGCTCTCTTGGTGAAAATAGCTGAGTTCAGGGGGATCTTTGCGTCGGGGGGGAACATAGCTGAAGGCTGACTGTGCTGAGAGTGGCAGCTGGTGTTTCCTTATTAGTTGTTCATTGATGCCTCCCAGTTCCTCCAACTCTTCCTCTTCTGCTCCCAGTTCTTCCCCATTTTGGGCTTCTTGCATTCCCTACTGAAGCCTAAAAGCTTTGCTGGGAGGCAGGCTGGCTGCCTTCAGGGCTCCAGTGGCCGCTTTTGCTCCAGCCAGCCCCCCCCCCCCGTCTGCTGAGTTCTTTGGTTACTAAGAGACGGTCTGTGATGTCAGACAACATATAAAGGAGACTGGAAGGCTGAGAAAAGCTGCTTCTGCGTGAACAAAGGAGCTTAAAACCAATTTGTCTAGAGGAGATTGCAGCAAAAGGCCACAAGTATTCCTGGATCTGACAAGGATCACTAAAGCTGGGCTTGAGAATGAATTCACTGGACAGGGTCTTCCGTATGATGTTGTATAGCTTCCAAAATGTGAGACACCCACATCAATGATGGATAGGCCGGCCAGGCTCCAGGAGGTGGGGATGCATCCATCTGGAAGAGGGGCCAAAGGTGCTAAAGCAATGGGGAAGGCATTAAAGATTGAATAAGCGGAGAAACTGGACATTATTGATTTGTGCTTACAAAGAGGCTGCTGGGAGGCTCAGATGTTCCTCAGCAGCAGCTGCTATTGAAGAGCACCTGGAACCATAGAGCATTACAGCAGTTCCATGTGCAGCCTTTTGGGCTGTCTTGTTTTCTCTTATTTCTTTGCATTGCTCATTTAAGAAGGCCCTTTTGTCTCTCCTTGCTACTTTTTGGAAATCTGCATTCAGTTTCCTGTATCTTTCACTTATCTCCCTCGCATTTTGCTTGCCTTCTCTCTCCTGCTATTTGTAAGGCCTCATTGGACAGCCACTTTGCTTTCTTGCATTTCCTTTTCATTGGGGAGGTTTCCATTGCTGTCTCCTGTATAATGTTATGAGCCTCCATCCATAGTTCTTCAGACACTCTGTCCACCAAATCTAAATCCTTAAACCTGTTCCTCACTTCCACTGTATATTCATAAGGGATTTGATTTTGATTGTGTCTTACTGGCCCAGTGGTTTTTCCTACTTTCTTCAGTTTAAGCTGGAATTTTGCTATAAGAAGCTGATGATCTGAGCCACAGTCAGCTCCAGGTCTTGTTTTTGCTGACTGTATAGAGCTTCTCCATCTTTGGCTGCAGAGAATATAATCAATCTGATTTCGATGCTGCCCATCTGGTGATGTTCATGTGTAGAGTCGTCTCTTGTGTTGTTGGAAAAGAGTGTTTGTGATGACCAGCTTGTTCTCTTGACAGAACTCTACTAGCCTTTGCCCTGCTTCGTTTTGAACTCCAAGGCCAAACTTGCCAGTTGTTCCTTTTATCTCTTGACTCCCTACTTTAGCATTTCAATCTCCTATAATGAGAAGAACATCCTTCTTTGGTGTCATTTCTGGAAGGTGTTGTAAGTCTTCATAGAACTGGTCAATTTCAGTTTCTTCAGCACTGGTAGTTGGTGCATAAACTTGGATTACAGTGATGTTAAAAGGTCTGCCTTGGATTCATATCAAGATCATTCTGTCATTTTTGAGATTACATCCCAGTACAGCTTTCACCACTCTTTTGTTGACTATGAGGGCCACTCCATTTCTTTTACAGGATTCTTGCCCACAGTAGTAGATATGATGGTCATCCAAACTGAATTCGCCCATTCCTGTCCATTTTAGTTCACTAATGCCCAGGATGTCAACATTTATTCTTGCCATCTCATTTTTGACCACAGCTTACCAAGGTTCATGGTTCTTACATTCCAGGTTCCATCTTAAAAAGCAGAGACATCACCTTGCTGACAAAGGTCCGTATAGTTAAAGCTATGGTTTTCCCAGGAGTGATGTATAGAAGTGAGAGCTGGACCATAAAGAAGGCTGATCGCCAAAGAATTGATGCTTTAGAATTATGGTGTTGGAGGAGACTCTTGAGAGTCCCATGGACTGCAAGAGGATCAAACCTCTCCTTTCTTAAGGAAATCAGCCCTGAGTGCTCACTGGAAGGACGGATCCTGAAGCTGAGGCTCCAAGACTTTGGCCACCTCATGAGAAGAGAAGACTCCTTGGAAAAGACCCTGATGCTGGGATAGATGCTGGGAGGGCACAAGGAGAAGGGGATGACAGAGGACGAGATGGTTTGACAGTGTTCTCAAAGCTACCAGCATGAGTTTGCCCAAACTGCGGGAAGCAGTGGAAGACAGGAGTGCCTGGCGTGCTCTGGTCCAGGGGGTCACGAAGAGTCGGACACAACTAACGACTAAATAACAACAAACAACAAATAAGTTGCATAACATACAACTCAGCTCTCACATTTTCCTGCAGCAGAATTTGCAAGTGTGGATGCTGGCACATAATATCAGCAACTTTGTTTGTTGTTGTTGTTGTTGTTGTTTAGTCGTTTAGTCGTGTCCGACTCTTCATGACCCCATGGACCAGAGCACGCCAGGCACCTCTGTCCTCCACTACCTCCCGCAGTTTGGTCAAACTCATGCTGGTAACCTCGAAAACACTATCCAACCATCTCGTCCTCTGTCGCCCCCTTCTCCTTGTGCCCTCCATCTTTCCCAGCATCAGTGTCTTCTCCAGGGAGTCTTCTCTTCTCATGAGGTGGCCAAAGTACTGGAGCCTCAGCTTCACGATCTGTCCTTCCAGTGAGCACTCAGGGCTGATTTCCTTAAGAATGGATGCGTTTGATCTTCTTGCAGTCCATGGGACTCTCAAGAGTCTTCTCCAGCACCATAATTCAAAAGCATCAATTCTTCGGCGATCAGCCTTCTTTATGGTCCAGCTCTCACTTCCATACATCACTACTGGGAAGACCATGGCTTTAACTATACGGACCTTTGTTGGCAAGGTGACGTCTCTACTTCTCAAGATGCTGTCTAGGCCTGTCATTGCCCTTCTCCCAAGAAGCAGGCGCCTTTTAATTTCGTGGCCGCTGTCACCATCTGCAGTGATCATGGAGCCCAAGAAAGTAAAATCTCTCACTGCCTCCATTTCTTCCCCTTCTATTTGCCAGGAGGTGATGGGACCAGTGGCCATGATCTTCGTTTTTTTGATGTTGAGCTTCAGACCATATTTTGCGCTCTCCTCTTTCACCCTCATTAAAAGGTTCTTTAATTCCTCCTCACTTTCTGCCATCAAGGTTGTGTCATCTGCATATCTGAGGTTGTTGATATTTCTTCCGGCAATCTTAATTCCAGCTTGGGATTCATCCAGCCCAGCCTTTCGCATGATGTGTTCTGCATATAAATTAAATAAGCAGGGAGACAAAATACAGCCTTGTCGTACTCCTTTCCCAATTTTGAACCAATCAGTTGTTCCATATCCAGTTCTAACTGTAGCTTCTTGTCCCACATAGAGATTTCTCAGGAGACAGATGAGGTGATCAGGCACTCCCATTTCTTTAAGAACTTGCCATAGTTTGCTGTGGTCGACACAGTCAAAGGCTTTTGCATAGTCAATGAAGCAGAAGTAGATGTCTTTCTGGAACTCTCTAGCTTTCTCCATAATCCAGCGCATGTTTGCAATTTGGTCTCTGGTTCCTCTGCCTCTTCTAAATCCAGCTTGCACTTCTGGGAGTTCTCGATCCACATACTGCTTGAGCCTTCCTTGTAGAATTTTAAGCATAACCTTGCTAGCGTGTGAAATGAGTGCAATTGTGCGGTAGTTGGAGCATTCTTTGGCACTGCCCTTCTTTGGATTTTAAATAGTTCAGCTGGAATACCATCACTTCCACTGGCCTTGTTATTTGCAGTGGTTTCTAAGGCCCATTTGACTTCACTTTCCAGGATGTCTGACTCAAGGTCATCAACCACACTACCTGGGGTGTACCTGTGTATCTTTCTGGTATAATTCCTCTGTGTATTCTTGCCACCTCTTGATGTCTTCTGCTTCTGTTAGGTCCTTACCACTTTTGTCCTTTATTATGGTAATCTTTGTATGAAATGTTCCTTTCATATCTCCAATTTTCTTGAACAGATCTCTGGTTCTTCCCATTCTGTTGTTTTCCTCTATTTGTTTGCATTGCTCATTTAAGAAGGCCTTCTTGTCTCTCCTTGCTATTCTTTGGAAATCTGCATTCAATTTCCTGTATCTTTCACTATCTCCCTCGCATTTTGCTTGCCTTCTCTCCCCCGCAGCTTTGTTACAGAGAGTCAAACCGCAGTTGCTTCCATATTGTTCCTCTCCATGCCCTAGAATTAACACCCTGTATCCACTCCTGTTTTACAGAGTCATTATCAAACTGCTTCAGTCTATTGTTTTCAGTGAGAGCTGATTTATAGTGATTTATAACAACATGTTTGTAACTCAGTGCAGCTGCAGCACCAGCCTGTCTAGGTATAAAGTACTACAGTGGTCCCTTGGTTCTCAAACTTAATCCGTTCCGGAAGTCCGTTCCAAAACCAAAGCGTTCCAAAACCAAGGCACACTCTCCCATAGAAAGTAATGCAAAACGGATTAATCCGTTCCAGACTTTAAAAAACAACCCCTAAAACAGCAATTTAACATGAACATTTAAGGAGACCATTGATCCATAAAATGAAAGCAAAAAACAATGCACTATTGTTGTTAGCCGCCCTGAGCCCGGCTTCGGCTGGGGAGGGCGGGATATAAATAAAAATTTATTATTATTATTATTATTATTATTATTATTATTATTATTATGTACTATAAAATAAAACAGTATTGCAGATGATAAAATTTTTAAAAAAATTCTTACTTGCACTGATGATAATCTTTGTTTGGATGGGGGGCTTTTATTCATTTCTGGAGTCACACTCAATCAATTGGTAGCTGAACTGGGTTCCACACTGTCACAAAAACAATTTAACCGAAAAAGACTCAAAAACAAAAAATTCAAAATAAATAGCGAAAACAAAGGCACCAAAATATAACCCCAAGGTGGTTGTCACCAATGGAGGCAAAAGCTCAAAAAAGGCCCAATATGGAGGCCAAGTGGCCAAAATATTGGGAGATTTTGGAGCAAGAAGGAAATATATTGAAATTGCAGAGTTTTGAGAAACTAAAAGATAGAGTGTGAGATTGGCTTCATTATTATCAAATAAGAGAGGTATATAATTTGGACAAAAAAAATGGTTTCCAGGTGGAAAAATCAAAGTTGGAAACAGAACTGTTAGATTCCAAAACTAAGGTACTTTCAAGAATGTTTAACTTGCTGTTAAAATGGAATACTCAAGATGAAACGGTTAAATCTGTTATGATTAAATGGGCACAAGATGTTGGACATAATATCATGTTTGCTGACTGGGAACAGTTATGGACCACAGGTATGAAATTTACGGCATGCAATGCCTTAAGAGAGAATATTATGAAAATGGTATACAGGTGGTACATGACACCAGTCAAGCTTGCAAAAATCTATCATTTGCCCGATAATAAATGTTGGAAATGCAAAGAAACTGAAGGTACATTCTTTCACCTTTGGTGGACGTGCCCAAAGATTAAGGCCTTCTGGGAAATGATATATAATGAATTGAAAAAGGTATTTAAATATACCTTTCTGAAGGCCTTCCAGAGGCCTTCCTCCTGGGCATTGTCGGCCAACTGGTGCCAAAGAAGGACAGAACTTTTTTTACGTATGCAACAACAGCAGCAAGAATACTCATTGCAAAGTATTGTAAGACACAAGATCTACCCACCCTGGAAGAATGGCAGATGAAGGAGATGGACTATATGGAATTGGCAGAAATGACTGGCAGAATCTGGGACCAGGGAGAAGAGTTGGTGGAAGAAG